CGGTTTGTTTATTTCTTTCTTTATTTCTCTACATATCCTAATCTTTTCTTTTTGTTTTTATTATCTATCTATCTATCTATCTATCTATCTATCTATCTATCTATCTATCTATCTGTCAGTTTGTCTGTCTGTCAAACCCTTACATATCCTAATCTATCTATCTATCTATCTATCTATCTATCTATCTATCTATCTATCTATCTATCTATCTATCTGCTACATTCGGTTTGTTTCTTTCTTTCTTTATTTCTCTACATATCCTAATCTTTTCTTTTCTTATCTATCTATCTATCTATCTATCTATCTATCTCAATCTCTGCATATCTATCTATCTATCTATCTATCTCAATCTCTGCATATCTATCTATCTATCTATCTATCTATCTATCTATCTATCTATCTATCTATCTTAATCTGTTTATTCCTATCATCTATCTATCTCATCTATCTATCTATCTATCTATCTATCTCAATCTTTGCATATCTATCTATCTATCTCAATCTCTGCATATCTATCTATCTATCTATCTATCTATCTATCTATCTATCTATCTATCTATCTTAATCTGTTTATTCCCTATCTATCTATCTATCTATCTATCTATCTATCTATCTATCTATCTCAATCTCTGCATATCTATCTATCTATCTATCTATCTATCTATCTATCTATCTATCTATCTATCTATCTATCTTAATCTGTTTATTCCCTATCTATCTATCTATCTATCTATCTATCTATCTATCTATCTATCTATCTATCTATCTCAATCTCTGCATATCTATCTATCTATCTATCTATCTATCTATCTATCTATCTATCTATATATATTTATATATATATCACACTCTGTTCATTATCTATCTATCTGTCTATGTCAGTTTGTTCACATCTATCTATCTATCTATCTATCTATCTATCTATCTATCTATCTATCTATCTATCTATCTATCTATCTATGTCTGTCCATATCTATCTATCTATCTGCTGCATTCAGTTTTTTCTTTGTTTCTCTACATCCGTGTCTATTCTTATCTATCTATCTATCTATCTATCTATCTATCTATCTATCTATCTATCTATCTATCACAGGCTGTCCATTTCTTTCTTTCTTTCTTTCTTTCTTTCTTTCTTTCTTTCTTTCTTTCGCAAACTGTTTCTTTCTTTCTATGAGTTGAAGATATCTATCAAACCCGACAAAACGAATTAATAAGGATGGATCAGAAAAACAATTATATATTGCACTAATTTATTTTGCTTCATCATAGATTTTAAAGAATTGGAATAATGCGTCGTTGTGTAGAATTTTAAAAAACTATGTCGCTTTTGTTTTTCTACGCTAGATAATTCTGTTTCCTCGGAAGACGGAAAAGCCAAATCTATCGATGAAATGACTCAAAAATCCAGTCAATGCCTATATATATATATATATATATATATATATATATATATATATATATATATATATATATATATATATATATATATATATATATTATTAACATAGGCTTTAGGCCACTATATAATTATCTTAAAATTAAAAACAACACTGTCACAAGTAATTTATGATAGATTTGTACATGTCGATGTTCTTTATTCATTTTCAGCAATTTTACTTTTATTATTTCCTATTTGATCTGATATGCTTTACCGTTCGGCCACGAAGGACTTCACACTAAGCGATACTCTTCACACACATACAAACCTTTGACTAAAAGCCTTAGCGGTCTATTAAAAACATTCTATTTTGTGGATACACGTAGTAAGTAGATATTTCTTTTTTTTTTAAGCACTCAACCCCAAGCGAGGTGGGAAGCCACTAGCGCGCAAGGAGTTGGAGCGAGAACAAAGAGGAGTCATAGAGGAAAGGATGAAGAGAAGTTTGGGGGATAGATCAGGGCATCTGGAAACGTCGATTGACATTACATTTGAATAATTGGAGATTATAGAAAATCAAGAAAAAAAAAAGAACTCGGGAGGGAGTTCCACAGGCGAGAAGTGCAAGCCATGAAGCTATTGGAGTAGAAAAGACGTCTACATTTAACAGTTTTGACAGTGAAAGGGTGAGAGCGAGATGCCAGTTTAGTTGAGCACTTAAATTCATGAAGTCTGGGAACCAGCAAAAACAGCTCACCGGAGCAGTTACCGTGAAGTTATTTGTAAAAAAAGATACAGGGAGGCAATGGTACGTCTGTGAAAGAGCGGCTGCACATATCCGTCTTTGGATTTCAACAAGGACCTTGAGACAATTAGATCCAAGACCATATATGGCAGCGATACTCCATGCAAGGGAAAATGGTTGATTTGTAGATTTGAAGGATCGGCTTCGGCGTGAAAAATTTCCTGGCGCGGCACAGGGAGCCGACTTTCCTTGCGGTGGAAGAAGCTATTGACTCAATGTATTCGTTCCATCTCAGGTCAGCGGACAATGTGAGACCGAGCTGTCGCAAAGAGGTGCTCTCGTGGACATTCTAATGGGAGGCAGGGATGGTTTTCTCTGGTGAGTAATAGAGAGCAGTTTTGTTTTTGAGGCATTAAAGTTAACCAGCCAATTCCCGCCCCAGTCCACAACCGATTGGATGTCCTTTTCGAGACAAATGGCAAGGTTAGTTTTGTCGGCGTCACTAGATTTGTTTTTGAGGCAGGAGTAAATAGTAGTGTCACCCGCATAGATGCCTACCTGGGAGCCTATGTAATCAGGAAGGTCGTTAATGAAGATAAGAAACAGAGTAGGGCCTAGGATAGAGCCTTGGGAACTCCTGCGTTCGTGGGATAAGAGCTGGAGTAGAATCCGTTGAGAACGACCTTCAATGTACGGTTTGACAGGAATGATTGTATTAAGTCGAACAATCGACCTGTAATTCCATCATCCTGAAGCTTGCGAAGATAGCCGGCACGCCAAATCCTATCAAACGCTTTGGAGATATCAAGAGCCACGACACGAGCTTCTCTGTTATTATGAAGTGCTTGATAAACAATTTCAGTTGTGGCCGTAAGCACATCAGCTGTAGAACGGGCAAAGCGGAAACCATATTGCTTGTCAGAGAGACGATTATGGAATTTAAGGTGCATAACCACTTCAGCGTTGATTAAAGCTTCAAGGACTTTGCCGAAGAGTGGTAGGAGACTGATAGGACGGTAATTAGAAGAGTCAGAAGGGTCTCCAGAGTCCTTAAAGACAGGAACAACGGATGAAGACTTCCAACAGGGTGGAAAACAAGATTCATTGAGGCAGTAGTTATATAATTTGGAGAGGGCAGGGGTCAGTTCAGGCGTACATTTCTTCAGGACAATGGCTGGTATCCCATCTTCATCACTAGCCTTGTGGGGGTCTAAATTAGAGATAATGCCCAGAACCGATGTCGGAGTTATGTGCAGGTCGTTCAATTGAGCCTCAGTTCGAAGGGTGAAATCTGGTGTGGGTACACCGGAAGAGTCGAGCGTTGAATTGAATGAGAATTTCCGAGTAAAGCATTCAGCCTTGTCGGCAGAAGAGGTCAGAACCTCAAACTGGTTGATCAAAGGAGGTATAGAGGGTTTGCTATTGTTAAGTACGCTCTTGCAGAGACTCCAATAATCCTTGCAGGCGAATTTGCGAGATTCGAGCAGCAAATAGTGACTTTGCTTCATTGAGGACACGCTTACACTTGTTACGGGCAGAGACAGAGAGACGTCTATTGCAATCAAACATGTCGCTACGATAGAGGTGGAAGAAGTGGTTGCTATGGGCAATGGCAGCTGAGCAAGCAACAGAGAACCAGGAGGAGGAGCGCGATTTGACCTTATATTTCTTTGAGGGGATGAAAGCCTTGATTCCAGCTTTAACCCAGGAGGAAACCTCGGAAGCACATTCTTGAACGGGGAGCGTGAAGACAACCTCCCCTGGGACATTGCGAATGAAATCCCGGAACGAATCCCAGTAAACAGTGTAAATTTACATCTACCGGCTTGTGCATTCGAGAGACTTAATAAAGAAAATCTGCTAGTCCAGTACTGATAAGCTTTGTCTGCTTTAAACATTTCACCCACGGAAAGCTTTCGCAGTCAAGCAACCATTCTTTTTTCTTTTTATGTTCCACGTCCTTTCATGAGGTAAGCGATCATGACTCTCTAACTTCCTCTATCCCTTGCAGCTCGTAACAAGTTCTTTCCCTCTGCTATCTCCCCCAGACCACGTTCTGCCATCCACTTACTCAAGTGGATGTCATGCGTTGCTTTCCATTGTCTCTCTTTCCCTCTATTCTACCTGTGAGTATCAGATTCTCCAGGCCCTCCTTCCTCATTATGTTTCCCACAAAATTCAACTGCCTTTCCCTGATGTGAAGTATAAGCCTCCTCTTTATTTGCATCCTAAGACTTCATCGTTACTCACACGTTCGGTTCATGATATCTTCACCATCCTTCTGTAGAACCACATCTCCGTCGCTCCGAGTCTTCTTCATCTTTGAGGAAATCGTCCAACATTCGCTGCCGTAAAGAAGAACAAATGTCACGTAACAGTTCATTATTCTTTTCTTTGTTACCAAAGAAATCCTTCAGTCTCGCAATACACTGCCCAGCTTTTGGAATGTGTCCTAGGCCATCCCAATACGTCTACGGATCTCAGTGTCGCACTTACTGTCCTTTGTTAAAACGCTTCCTAGATATTTAAACTTTGGTGTCTGCTTGATTCTAGTGTTCCCAACCTGCAAATTGCATTTCGGGCTCATCCTCTTACTGATGACCATGCATTCTGTCTTCTTGTAGTTTACACTTAGTCCCTTCTTCTCACTCTCCGTCGATACCTTCTGTAGGAGATTTTGTAATTTCATTTCCGTGTCCGCTATCAGTACTGTGTCATCTGCGTATATAATGTTAAGATTGTGGCCGTCAATGCTAATTGAGAAATATACATTTCATGTTCATATCCCTTGTTTAGTTTACTGTGTTAAGCCGTAGATGAACTTTATGTTTCGGGGGAGCGGAGTGATTAGAATTTTGACGTATCTCGATCAGTCGCATGACGACAATCTCCCAGGGAAAAGTAAGGGACATTTCCTCGCACTTAAGCACAAACGGCATTTATTTTATTAATTTTGATGTAAATTGATACTCAACAATAATGGTACTTTAACAGCATAGAGTGTGGAACAGGTGTTTAATCACGGGAACAAGAGATCAATAAGGTGTTAATTTCAAAGCGACTTCTTTTGTGCGCCAAGTCTTTTCAGGACGTAGGCGAACATGGCTCGACACAACAATATTATTACTAGATTGTATTGTGACGGCTGCTGATCTTCTGTTGTTGTAGAAGAATACATCTCCATTTATTTATGGTTGAGAGCCTTCGCTTTATTTTTAATAGTGGATGTAGAATACACCCCCCTACCACACACCTACACACACACCTACGCTCACACACACACATACACACATATGCACATTTCATTGAATATGACAGACAAGGTGCTTTTATTTAGTTTTTTTTATACAATTTCTCATGCGATCCAATATTTTTTTTCTTTTCGAATGATAAATTATATAAACTGTCCGAATGTTCTTTTTATCCGATCGCTTTCGGCTATACATTTAGCCATTTTCAAGGATTAAATATTTTAACTGTTAAATAAGAATTAGTTTGTTGTATGTATGTTTTATAAAATGTTTTCATTTTTCAAAAAACGGTCAATATATTGTGTCTATGTTCAAAGTTAATATTATTAAGTGTTGGCTTTTTTGTTTTTATTAATAAGGCTTCCATTATTTTAGCCTTTTTTGCATGTAGATGATGCTATTATATTAGTGTTGTCAACAAGTATGTTACGAATAGTGTCCGGTAGGTCTTCATGAATATTTAAATGAGATCTAATTGAGCTATGGTCAGAAAGGTGTAGAGTGAGTCTGCGAGTCAAACATGTTGTAGTGTGGCCTATATAATTATTTACGAATTTTGATTGATCATGAAGACAATTTGGTACTGGCCGCTATCTCCAATTTAGACCCCAACAAGGCTAGTGGTGGAGACGGGATACCAGCCATTGTCTTGAAGAAATGCGCGCCTGAACTGGCGCCCGCCCTTTCTAAACTATACAACTACTGCCTCAAGGAATTTTGTTTTCCTGACTGCTGGAAGTCCTCTTCGATCGTTCCTGTCTTCAAGAACTCCGGCGACCCCTCTGACCCTTCCAACTACCGTCCTATCAGTCTCCTTCCCCTCTTCGGCAAAATCTTCGAAGCCCTAATCAATACCGGGGTGGTTAACCACCTCTCATCCCATAATCTGCTCTCAGACAAGCAATATGGTTTCCGATTTGCCCGATCTACAGCCGATGTGCTTACGGCCATCACTGAAACAGTCTACCGAGCTCTTCAAAACAACGGGGAAGCCCGAGCCGTGGCACTAGACATCTCCAAAGCATTTGATAGGGTTTGGCATGCCGGCCTTCTTCGCAAACTCCAGGGTTATGGCATTACGGGTCGATTATATAACCTAATACGATCATTCCTGTCAAACCGTAAATTGAAGGTCGTTCTCAACAGATTCTCCTCCAGTTTCTATCCCACGAACGCAGGTGTTCCTCAAGGCTTCATCCTAGGCCCCACTCTATTCCTTATCTACATAAATGACCTTCCTGACGCCATAACTTCCCAAGTTAGCATCTACGCGGATGACACCACAATTTATTCCTGCCTCAAAAACAAATCTAGTCTCGCTGACAAAACTCACCTGGCCGTGTGTCTCGAAAAGGACCTCCAATCGATTGTGAACTGGGGCATGAATTGGCTGGTCAACTTCAACGCTTCTAAGACAAAACTGCTCTCTATTAATCACCACAGAGATACTTCCTTTCCCTCCATTAGAATGTCTGACGCTCAACTTCTCGAGAGCAACTCTCTGCGGCTGCTCGGGCTCACGTTGACTGCTGACCTGAGATGGAATAAATACATTGAGTCAATTGCCTCGTCCACCGCAAGGAAAGTTGGCTCCCTGAGCCGCGCCAGGAAGTTTTTCTTCCCGGAGTCGATCCTCCAGATCTACAAATCAACAATTCGCCCTTGCATGGAGTATCGAAACTCCTAAATGTAGCCGTCTCTTCTACTCTAATAGCTTCATGTCTCGCTTATGGAACTCTCTTCCCTATTCCTGTTTCCCTGTGAGCTATAATCTCCAGCTATTCAAGTGTAATGTCAATCGACGATCTATCTATCTACTACCCTCATCCTTTCTTCTATCACTCCTATCTGATCTTGCTCTAAATCTTTCTTAACCCCTTGCGCCCTAGTGGCTTCCCGCCTTGCTTGGGGTGAAATGCTTAAAAAAAAATTACTGAATGGGCATTTAAATTTGTAAATAATATTTGTCCTATTTAATTTTGTTCTAGGAGGTGAATTATTATTTTTAACTATAAGGTTATAAGGTTTAAATGCAAGATTCCAGTATAAACGACCAATATTTACCTATTCCCGAACCAAGTCAATGCTTAAAGACTCAAATATAAGCGACCAATATTTGCCTATCCCTGAACCAAGTCAATACTTAAAGATTCCAGTATAAGCGACCACTATTTAAATATCCCTGAACCAAGATAATACTTAAAGTTTCCAGTATAAACGACCAATATTTGCCTATTCCCGAGTCATGTCAATGCTTAAAGATTCCACTATGAACGAAAACTATTTACATATCCCTGAACCAAGTCAATGTTTAAAGATTCCAGTATAAACGACCAATATCCATGAACTCGTTGCTGAACAAATGCAAAGGCTTAAATGTTTTTGGCTCCTTTGCTATGGCAAAATACTATTCGCTCTTAATAAGTTTCTTCTTAAAATGTCGACTTGTTGCTGTCTTTCTTCTGATGCATTCTGTTACCATTTCATCCCATAAAAAATGTTTTTCACATTTAAAATTTCTATAGTGAAAGGACACATTTTGTGCTATCGGAAAAAGTAAGGCACGTTATTAAAATAACCAGACAGTCTATATCTAAAGGTACAATAGCGATTTTCCAAGCGTAGACACAAGGCCGAAAGTAAGGAGTACCCAGTGAGGCTTGAACTCACTACTCAGTCGCAATCGTTCTAGCGAGACAAGCTTGCTAACCATTACACCACCTAGAGGTACTCTCTAAAAGTACAATATAATGCCGATGTCTTTCTATTTGTAAGAACTAAAATGCAACTAGAATGTGTCGTAGAGTCTAATATTACTTACTCCAGAGTTTATCGTATAGTCTCGTTAACATTTTACAAAAGAATCAATAATATTTACCGGGCTTCACCTACATATGTGTATACGTTGGCGTGTCGTTGAAGAAAAAACTGTTTCTTTTCAATGATTGTTTTGTTCATCATTTAGATACGTCTTGCTTTCAGCGTAAGGATGATAGATAGTTGTCTTACTGAATGCGTATTCGTTGGGTATAATAAATTTGTTAGTTGTAAATGTGTACGCACATATGGGCGGTGGATGTGCTTATCAATTGATTCTTTTTCGGAATTTCTGAACCGTAAAGATCGGGCGTTAAAGTCACAAGCACAGACTGATTTACAAGCGCGTTGAGAAAGATGATACATATATGTACTCCTCCCTAAATTATGATTGAGTCATTCCAGTGAGTGGCGACCTGGTTACATCTACAAATCTATTCCTGTTTACATCAGAGATTCTATCTATCTATCTATCTATCTATCTATCTATCTATCTATCTATCTATCTATCTATCTATCTCAGCTTGTTCCTATCTATCTATCTATCTATCTATCTATCTATCTATCTATCTATCTATCTATCTATCTATCTATCTATATGCATATATAAATAAAAGAACAGTAAGATATACAATCCGGTGTTCTTATAGATATTTCTGTTTCTACAAAATAGTGCTCAATGTAAATTTACAGAGCATTAATATTATAAATTAACTGATTTAAAATATGTTTTCTTCGCTACAAAGTTCTGACCATGTTTCATTTTTGAAACATGGTTAGAACCGTGTTGCGAAAAAACATTTTAAATCAGTTAATTTATAATATATATATATATATATATATATATATATATATATATATATATATATTCCAGTTTTTTAATCATTCTCTCACTCTCTCACTCTCTCTCTGCCACAATTTTAATATACTTCCATTTTCTTCTCTCTCTCTCTATTTATCTATCTATCTATTTCAGTTTTCAATCTTTTCTCTCACTCTCACTCTCTTTCTATCTGCCATAGTATTTTAATATACTCTCTCTTTCTCTCTCTTCATTCATATATATATATATATATATATATATACATATATATATATATATATATATATATATATATATATATATGTGTGTGTGTGTGTTTGTGTGTGTGTCTGAATATATATATATATATATATATATATATATATATATATATAATTTTATCATATAGACAAAACCATCTTACTCAATATAAAAATGTATTTTTTACCATTTTCGATTCTCCCCCGTCGAAGTGCAGTTGAAATGCACTGAAACCAAATTGCAGCTTTGTAGTGAGTAAATGGTTTTGTCTATATGATAAAATTAAAATAAATAAATAATTATCGCTCTACTATCGGTATCGAGACCTCTTTTTGATTAATGCTGTGAACGTTGGAATTTATATATCACTTTCGTTCTCATCGCATCGGATATATATATATATATATATATATATATATATATATATATATATATTGTGATTTTCTTTCTTCGTTTTAATGATAATGTTATTAAGCTTATCAGACGATATGAAAAGAATTTACAAAAAATAAATAGACAAAACTTGTCTATATTATTTAATGAAACATGCATCAATGAAAAATGTTGCGTAAATACACGCAATTTATATATATATATATATATATATATATATATATGCTTGTTTCTATCTATCTATTCCAGTTTTTAATCTTTCTCTCACACTCACTCTCCTTCTATATGTCACAGTATTTTTTATATACTTCTCTCTCTCTACAGACACACTCACACTCACACACACATATATGAATATTTATATATAAACAGGCTATCTATCTCTTACACTTTGTTAATATTTCTCTTCCTCCGTTTTTCTTTTTGACTTTCTCAGCTTATCTATTTATCATATTCATAGATACATACATACATACATATATATATATATATATATATATATATATATATATATATATATATATATATATGTATACTTGTAACGACTTACTATGATTTACTTTCAATTAGTGTCACTCAGTGACTTTCTCTGTTAATATATCAGCATCTTTTTTGTAGTTCCATATTTATATCTCATTTCCATGCCTCTGTCTTTTTCTGTTCTCTCATTTCTTTCATAATATATATCTTTTCTCTCTATCTATATATATATATATATATATATATATATATATATATATTATAAATTAATACACAGTTCTAACGATGTTTCAAAATGGAAGCTAAAAGCCACGAATTTAATTTTTGTGTGATTAAATCAAAGACATTACTTCCATTCGCTTGAGGATGAAATGGAACTAATGTCTTTAATTTAATCAAAAATTAAATCCGTGGCTTTTAGCTTCCATTTTTGAAACATGGTTAGAACTGTGTAGCGAAAAAAAACCGTATTTTAAATCAATTAATTTATAATATTAATGCTCTGTAAATTTACATTGAGCACTATTTTAAAAAAATAAAATATCTATAAGACCGGATTATATATCTTGCTTTTTTTCTTTCTTTTATATATATATATATATATATATATATGTGTGTGTGTGTGTGTGTGTGTTTGTGTGTGCGTGTCCCAGAAATTTCATCTGCCTTTTCCTTATGATAGATATAAGCTTCCTTCTAGTTTGCATCCTCTCCAAGACCTCATCGTTGCTCACACGCTCGGTTCATGAAATCCTCAGTATCCTTCTGTAGATCCACGTCTCCGTTGTCTAGAGTCTCTTCTTCATCTTTGACGAGACCGTCCAACATTCGCTGCCGTATAGGAGGACCGATGTCACGTAGCAGCTCAGTACTATTTTCTTTTCTTCTGATACCTCGGTGTATGGATCAAATAAAACAAATTTAGTATAGGAGAAAAGGAAACTGAACAAAGAATAGTCTGCGCCAATGTAGTTTCGCCCTACGCCGTAAAGTGCGAGAAATTCATAACATTAACCTGAAAACTAGGGTCATTGAAATAGCCTCGTCATGTCGAGACTTTCATATCATGCATGGCGCCAAAGCCGTTCAGAAATATCTAAACTGTCAGTTGTATAAAACCACTTTCTAATATCAATGGTTAAAAAGGCTTTGAGCGGGTAAAGCCTGAGGTTGTTGATAAAGTTCCCCCTTATTTGAGCATTGAGAACTGGCGCTACACAATCACAAACAAAGGACTGTACCAGATAACAGAGACCACATCTCTTTAGGAGTGTCAGCAACTTCGACATCGGAAATGGAAAGCACATGTAACTCGAAGAGAAAATAATGACATAATCAAGATGTTAACACTCCACACCAATTTAAATAAAAGGCTAGAAAGGAAACCCTCGTCAATACTGTAAAGAGCGATAACAGCTCCTGGGCCTGGAAAACCTGTTTTCTTGAAAAATTGTTTTTAGTGCAAGATTTTTATAAATTTCAACTGAAAGCAGTACTGGCTGATCGGTCAATGTCAAATGTTTCCTTGTAGGGAAACGGCTAATATAACCATTATCATTAACATCAGAATGACAAAGTGGAAATATTTGGTTTCCGACGTGTCTAGACACACTACTCCTCCGAGTGCATCACAGGGACAGCCAAATTGTTTATGGTTGATATTCTGTTTTCTGAATTCAAGTGGTTATTTAAAATAAGACGCACACGTTTGTAGTATTCTTTGTCTAATTTCTACTTCATTTGTGTTTGCAGTATTAGATCATCTTCACTGACTCCCAGGTATTTATAGGCTTCTTCTTATTCCAATTTCCTAATCTTTGTGACAAAATCGAGATCTATTCACTGTTTTTATTATTATTATTATTATTATTATTATTATTATTATTATTATTATTTTCTTTGATTTCTGGCGTTTACACATTTTTTCCGGGTCCCGCCCAGGGACCAAAAATTAGAAATGGCATCATGAGATTTTCCACAGACAAAAAAAAAAAAAAAATTACATAGATAAAGCCCTTCGTAAAGTGTGGGCTGTACTTGTCAGACCAATTTTTTGTATCTCCTTGAGGCAGGAATCCCTTCTGTTAGTCTACTGGAATCCTTTCCAGTCAGTCCGAGGGCTCCAACTACAACAGGGATTGTTGATGTTCCCATATGCCACATTTTTGAGATTTCTATTTCAAGGTCCTTGTATTTTGACAACTTTTTGAATATCTTCAAAGATACATTGCAGTCAGCAGGGACTGCCATATCAATAAGAAAGCACTTTTTTTGTTTGTGGTCTTTAACAACAATGTCTGGGCAGTTGGCTTTGATTGTTCTGTCAGTGTGTATTGCGTAGTCCCATAGAATTGTAACAGGTCCTATCTCCGTAACTGGGTCTGATTATTATTATTATTATTATTATTATTATTATTATTATTATTATTATTATTATTATTTCTTTGATCTCTGTTTCTACACCTTTCCTTCCGAGTCTCAGTCAGAGATCTAGTTGAACTAATCTTTTACCTCCTTCAAATCTGGTCATATACAGACGATCAACATCAGTCTTAGAATGACACGTGCTGTGGCAAGTGAGTAGCTTTCTCGTTTTGATATCCATTCACATAATGTCAGCTATGTTTCAATTAAGAATGTTGAAACTGCATTGCATCACGGGGACAGTCAAATTGTTTATGGTTGATATTCTGTTTTCTGAATTCAAGTGGTTATTTAAAAATAAGACGCACACGTTTGTAGTATTCTTTGTCTAATTTCTACTTCATTTGTGTTTGCAGTATTAGATCATCTTCGCTGACTCCCAGGTATTTATAGGCTTCTTCTTATTCTAATTTCCTAATCTTTGTGACAAAATCGAGATCTATTCACTGTTTTTATTATTATTATTATTATTATTATTATTATTATTATTATTATTATTATCTTTGATTTCTGGCGTTTACACATTTCTTTCCGGGTCCCGCCCAGGGACCAAAAATTAGAAATGGCATCATGAGATTTTCCACAGACAAAAAAAAAAAAAATTACATAGATAAAGCCCTTCGTAAAGTGTGGGCTGTACTTGTCAGAAAATTTTTTTGTATCTTCTTGAGGCATGGACTTCCTGGAATCCCTTCGATTAGTCTACTGGAATCTTTTCCAACCAATCCTAGGGCTCCAGCTACAACAGGGATTGTTGATGTTCCCATATGCCACATTTTCGAGATTTCTATTTCAAGGTCCTTGTATTTTGACAGCTTTTTGAATATCTTCAAAGATACATTGCAGTCAGCAGGGACTGCCATATCAATAAAGAGGCACCGTTTTTGTTTGTGGTCTTTAATAACAAAATTTGGGCTGTTGGCTTTGATTGTTCTGTCAGTGTATATTGTGTTGTCCCATAGAATTGTAACAGGTCATATCACCGTAACCGGGTCTGGGCGGTGTTCATACCAGTTTCTTTCAGTTTCCTTCCCGTAGAAGTTGCAGATTTTTTTATTATTATTATCATTATTATTATTATTATCATCATCATTATTATTATTATTATTGTTGTTGTTATTGTTGTTTTTGCTGCTGCCATTATTAGTAATATTCCTTTCTTTTTATTTGCCATGTCCTTTCAGGACTTTGGCGATCATGGCTCTCCGCTTCCCTCTAACCCTTGCAGCACTCAACAAATTCCCTTCCTCTGCTTCCATCCCGAGACCACGTTCTGTCATCCACCTACTCAAGCTCATCAGGTAGGTCACGCGTTGCTTTCCCTTGTCTCTCTTTCCCTCTATTCGACCCGTGAGTATCAGATTCTCCGGGCCCTCCTTATGTATCCCAGAAACTCCAGCTGCTTCTTCCTGATGTTAAATATAAGTCTCCTCCTTGTTTGCATCCACTCTAAGACCTCAATGTTGCCCACACGCTCGGTCCATGATATCCTCACCATCCTTCTGTAGGACCACATCTCCGTCGCCTCGAGTCTCTTCTTCATCTTTGAGGAAATCGTCCAACATTCGCAGCCGTAAAGAAGGACAGATGTCACGTAGCAGCTCAGTATTCTTTTCTTTGTTACCAAAGAAATCCTCCTATCTCGCAATACTCTGCCCAGCTTTTGGAATGCGTCCTTGGCCACCCTAATACGTTTACGGATCTCAGTGTTGCGCTTAACGTCCCCTGTCAAGACTCTTTCCAATTAAGAAACGTCCATTAGTAGTAACAACAGAAAAAAATACTTCTAATGTGGGAAAATAAATAGAAACGGAAAAAGAAATAAAATATAAAGCGGAAATGAATGATATCGAACAATGATAATGAAGGAAAAGTTTAAAAACATTCTATCCTTTGAAGTAATCATTATTGCATTATTTCAATACATGCTTGCCATCGGTAAAGTGTAAAAAAAAAAAAAGGTTTTAATGGTTTAAAATTTTTTGGGACACCCTAAAGTATAAACTTACATAACATGCAACAGGATTCTGCATTTTCGTCATATTTCAGAAAGATCGTACATCTTCGAGCAAGGATATTCCCAAGAAGAAAGAGAAGCAGTTTGGTCTGAGAATATCGCAACTAACAAAGGCCGGAAGCACTCTATAACCCAGTTTGGCCTGAAACCATGGATGTCGGTAAATATCAATTGAAAGAAAGAAAGAAAGAAAGAAAGAAAGAAAGAAAGAAAGAAAGAGATAATAAAGTTAAAGAACACAAATCAAAAATTGATAGAGGTCCTTGAGGGTCACCCTCTCACGGAAGACCGGAGGGACATTAGGGCACCCCAGTGTTAAATGACCCTTGAATTAAATCCCCGTTCACCAAAGAATGACTACAGGACTTAATAAGGGCGGTCAGTGCCATGCGTCGCCAGGTGATGTCCGAGACATATTCTCTATCCCGCTGTGTGTCGTGGTCAGTTTCGAAACATCGGTGTCCTCCTCTTAATAGAACCATTCGATAGATGCCCAGAAGGTAATTGTAGCCGACCCGCTGTTACGCCAGCTTCCGTTTCTATAATTTCCCGGCATGCAACATGTCTCTCAGGTGTCGAGGAAGCAACGTCTAGGGAAGGGTAGTGAGGCGATAGGAAGTTTACACCAAAATTCACGGACACTTTTAGAAATGTTAAAAATTTGTCACATTTTGTTTAAACTGCGATAAACACAGAAGTGTATATCCCAGCTTTAAAAAGAACGAAGAAAGAAATAAGTATAGTCACTATAGTCAAAATATTAGAAATATTCATATGGTTACACATACACACACATATATATATATATATATACATACATACATACATATATATATATATATATATATATATATATATATATATATATATATATATATATATATCAGGAGGTATGTTATTTTTATTCATATTTTTTTACGTGTATTGAATTGAGACTTTTTTACTAGTGTTTCCTGGTCTGATTCAAATCTGACCATTAACCTTTATGTACATATATGTATATATATATATATGAATAAATATATTTTTAAGGCATGCTATATTTATGGGATAAAGTGCTCAATATCAGAGATAGAGCATATATCAGGCCTGACGATTGCGTCTACCATGATACAACTTGTCGCCTCTGAGTGTTGACTTCAATGGTCACTTTATATATATATATATATATATATATATATATATATATATATGTATGTATGTACATTTCATTGAATAAGTGAGACAAGGTGCTTCGATTTAGTTTTTTTATACAATTTCTCATGTGATCTAATAATTTTTTTTCTTTTCAGATGATAAATTATATAAAATCTGTCCGAATGTTCTTTTTTTTTCCGAGAGATTTCCGCTATACATTTAGCCATTTTCAAAGTTGAAATATATTAACTGTTAGCAAGAAATAGTTTATTGTATATATGTATTTATATAATGTTTTCATTTTCAAAACATGGTCAAGATATTGTGTCCCTGTTCATAGTTGATATTATTGAGTGTTGCTATTTTTGATTTTATTAATAAGGCTTCCATTATTTTTAACTTTTTTTTGCTTGTAGATGATGTTATTATATTTGTGTTGTCAACAAGTATATTACGAATAGGGTTCAGCATTTCTTGTTAATAGTTAATCTGTATATTCTCCTATGTGCTATGTAGGCGATCACGGGTATCCACAAATTCCTATTCTTTTATAGCTTTTAGTATTGTGTGCCTTTTCACCAACCCTCCGAGTCCTTGTTCTATTATCTATTTACACAAGACTTCGGTAGGTCACCCCCTGCCTTCCTCTGCTCCTTCTGTATGTTCTGTGATTGTTAAATTCTCTGAGCATCTTTTCTCATTGTGTATGCTCGAAAGCTCAACATATTTTTTTCTAATTAATGATTATTATTTTAATTATTTCTGTTTTCTTATTGTTTCCATTTTCTTTAAACTTTCCTCGTTATTGAAATGTTCGGTCCATGTGATTCTCAGCATCCTACTGTAGAACCACATTTCTTTGTTGTCTGAAAAGAGATTATCCCGCATTCATTACCATATAGGAAAAACGATACTACGTCGTAGTTCAGAAATCTTTTCTTTGTTTCGAGCGAATATTACTAGAAAAAAATGATCAATAAACTTAATAGACATAAAATGTTTATTCTTTTTAATAGAACATGTTTACAAGAAGAGATGCTGTCAAAATCTACTCAACATTTATTTTAATTCATGTTTTATTTATTATATGCATAGCTATACTTAGATGGGAAGTATATTATTTCTTCTGTAATATATATATATATATATATATATATATATATATATATGTGTGTGTGTGTATGTATATATATGAAAATGCATAAGAAATATATATGTATATTCATTTATGTTATATATATATATATGAAAATGTGCATATATATATATATATATATATATACATTTATGTTATATATATATCTATATATATATCTACATATATATATATATATATTTGCAGGTATCTATAAACAAAGGGATTAATTAGGTCCTTCTCAGCTAATTGCTTAATTAGAGGTAATGGCGTCCTTTAGACTGAGCCTCTGCATATATCTCATTGTTGTCCATTGTTTTCTACATGCAATGACTTCTCATCGAAATACATTTCATTTTTACGTACCTTCCGGGCAATCAACAGGAAGTCATTTATGATATCGATAAAGATTTCTTTCTTTCTTTCTTTCTTTCTTTCTTTCTTTCTTTCTTTCTTTCTTTCTTTCTCAAGTCACTTTCTTTATTTACCAAATTACACAGCTGTCTTTTTCTAGTTGCATATTTTGACATTTTTGTCCTTCGAAATTTTTACTCCCTTATCTGTTTATTTTTGACTTTACGTAAATTATCTCTACAACTCATCTATATCTATCTATCTATCTATCTATCTATCTATCTATCTATCTATCTATCTGTGCCT